GGCAGACTCCTCCCACAGTCCCACCCCACATCGTGACAACGTGTAACTCCGGCCTCTCCAGCTTCTCTGCAATTCCACACCACCGCGGCCAGAGAGCATATACTATGTTACATATAAAACACCCCTGTGGTAAAGACCCCCCCAACACCAGGACCCTGACTTGGCTGGCCTCTCTGCAGGACTCCTTCCAATATGAAACTCAGCCCAAAGCTATGTCCTATCTGTTTTCCTTCAAGTTAAATGTAGCCATTCCTTCCTACTAGCAAATTTGCAAGAGACCCACTCCTCATGCCTTCTTTCACGGCCTGCTGCTTCTCAGACCCTCAGGGAAGCCAAGGAGACCACTGACCTAAAGGGTTCAGAGACTCCTAGAAGACCCTCGCCCTTGAGCACCTTCCTGGTGTGGGTAGCTCCAGAGTCCTGGGTGAGACCAGGGCAACCCCATTACTTGCAGCATGAAACAAATCCCACATATATGTGACTAAAAAGTAGTCACGAAATCTAACAAAAGCACAAGTTGATTGGAATGGGATGAAAATTGGTCCTGGCCACAGCCCTTGCCCGCGTCAAGCAAGGAATACACCTAAGTCCCCAAGTTCCTTCCTCGCCCTCCCTGCCTTTCTTCTCTGCTTACTCCCCTCCCTCCATGCCCACCTGACATGCCCAACCTTCCTCTTTACACGTACTAGATGTGCTGAAGAAAACAAGAAACTGCGGGGAGGGGGGAGGAAGGAAGACCATACACGTTTATATATATCTGGGTTAAGGAAGTGAATCACAAGCCATATAAAACTGAGATAAACTGGAAAACTCTAAGTACCATATCTATTCCCAGCCGTCTAGAACAAAAGATCCCATGAAAAATTATAGTGTAAATTCCCACCATGCACCAGAAAGATGGAAGACTAAGGTTTCCCTGCAACGCTCCCACTGGGCCCCTCACCTGCACAAAGTTTGCTTCCCTGGCTGAGAACTAAGTGTGTTTCTAAAGGCTGGAATGATGGTGTCTTGCTGCTGCCTGAGAGGAGCTCAGGGCATGGATCTGAAATCCAAACCCAAGGCCTGCCATCACCAGGATGCATGGAGAACTGAGACGGGCGAGCCAGGTGAGAAGGCCCATCCATGCCTGTCTTACCACACAGCCTTAAGGAAACCGACCAGAATGGGAGCTGTGCTCCCCCTACCCCCCAAATCTCCTCTTTGGTTGTCCAATGTCAGCATCTGCCATAGATACCCCTATCCTGCCACCCTCTTTTTCTCCTTCCTTTTGTGCACTTCATGTTACACCCAAGTGAAGGCTGCTTATTTTTCACTGTCTTCACAACAAAACAAAAACACAAGGGGAGGTGGGTAAGCAAGGATGGGGGAGTGCATGGAGAACTCTCCAGAACAAGGATGCCCTGTGCTAGCTCCTCTGCAAACCTGAGTCCCTTAGACACTGTGCACACGAGTCGCAGAGGGTGGCCAGTCAGGGGCAGGGCAGCTCAGGGAGGGCAGCTCCTCATGCGTCCCCCAAACCCCCTTTCTCCTAAGCTTGGTGGCCAAAGCAGTGGTGAGGACACAGCTGTTGGGCATTCAAACTCCTGGAAAAGATCACAATTTTGCTTTCACTCCCAGCGGGTTTAGGGGGTGGGGTGAAAGAGTGATTTCACTAGAGTGTATTTTAATCCTTATCCTCAGAGGTAGAATCATTTTATCCAGTACCTGAAACATGAGCTTCCAGTTTTGTTATTACAGTAACTCCTGATAGCAGACCTTGCCCCTTCCCACTTCCAGAACCCTCTGACCCTTGCAAAGGGGCCACAAAGTGCATGGACAACTACTGTGCAGACGTCACCCACAGCCATGGCCTCACGCTCATCCCTTGCTTGTGCACACGGCCTCCCCACAAATACATCGGTACGCGCAATATACAGTGGCCAGAGATACATTTACAGAGGGAGTGTGAGGCCGGGCCTGGGCCTGCATCCTTGGGCAGGGTCTGCCCCGTGGTCCCAGGGTCCTGAGGCTGCTCTGCAGCCAACCCCCGTGTCTTAGTGTTTGATCTCAAGGATGGAGGGGTTGTGGTCCAGGATAGCGAGGATAATCTTGTCCATGTACTGCCTCAGCCGGAAGTTGATCTCCTCCTGTTCCTTCAAGGCTTCCATTAGCTGAAGGGAATGAGAAGGACCAATAGAAGTCAGGTCTAGGTGGATGACAGAGGGCCTCGTGGGACCCTGGGCAAGGCAGGCCCCAGACACCCTCAGCACTCAGGTTCCAGGACAAGTGTCTAAGGCAGTGGCAGCTCCACCCGGGGAGTATTAGGCAGATGCCCAGGCCCTACCTCTGACATTCCAGTGTGGAGGGTCCCAGGGCATTTGGAGAGCTGACCTTTCATGATCATACCCTAGTGTGGCAGAAAGAGCAGCCTTTGGCACTAGAGACCTGTGTCCCTCTCCTTCCCAGGTGGGTAAGCTTGTGTTCTAGCTTTCCTATTTGTAACATGGAAGTGTTTTCATAAAGCCTCAGAGTTATCAGGAGATTAGAAAACCTCTTGCAAGTAGATGCTCGTGAAATGCTAGTTTCCTTCCCCTCTGGGTTTGGGGGAGGGGAGTTATAGCTTACTCTGGGTTCTCAGGTTGATAGCATTAACTGGCCATTTCTGTACTTTTCTGGCAACCTAAGACGCACACTCCACCCTGCTGCTAAACCTGGGCTCCTTCCAGCACCTGCAGAGAGCTGACTTAACTTCTCTCACAGCTATGACCCCCCATGGCCTTGCCCTCCATCACTTGGGGTAGCTGCAGACGGGACTTTCAGGCCAGGCTGTGGTCTGGTTTTCCTGCTCTGGAAAGCCTGGGGGCTGGTCACCATGGTAGGTGGGGGATGGGGGCCCAGGGCCCAGAGGAAGCACAAGTGGACATGATTACCTCATCACGTGAGGCTGTGTCTATTTCTGCAGCCAGGGACTGGGCTTTGGTCTGGGTGGCAAAAAGGTTCTTTGCTTCGTAGAGGCTGAGGCTCAGAATCTGCCCATTCAAGTCGTCATTCTGATCCCGCAGCTTATGATTCTCCTACAGAGAGTGGGGTGAACATGTTATCAACTCCTAGAAGCATCTAGAGCCCACTAGAACCCACTTCTCTGCATCCACTGTCTCCTAACTGCCACCAGCACCAACCCCTCACGTGTGGCCAGTGCAAGAGGCCACAGAGGCCGCACACTTTGCCGGGCATCAGAGGGTAGGAGGGCTGGGAACTGGTCTAGGGGCCTGGTGTTCCAGGAGTTCACGGGGTTCCAAGGTAGAAGAGTTACAGCCCTACTCAAGGAGGTCGTGTCTCCAGACAGGACCACAGCCCACCTGGCACTCAGCCTCCAACCCTGGCTGTACCTGGAGAAGAGAGATTCCCTGGGGCCTCTAAGCAGGCAGATCAGCCATCCTGGCTCCTCCTGCAGCTGGGCTCTTAGATCCTGCTCAGGAGTTTCCAGAGTCTTCTCACTCTGGAGCTGACCCCAATGCCCTGCCCAGAGCCCATGACCAGCCCCATTGTCTGATGCCCCCTAAAACCTGGCCCTTGGGAACCCACTCCAGACTGGGAGGTGGCTGGGGCTTTAGGACTCTGCTGGGCATAGCCTCTAGCACCTCTGTCTCTGATGGAGAAAGCTCAGTGTTTCAGGCTGCCAGGTCAGGCAGAGCTGACACTTGAGCCGACACCACTCCCTTCCCTCTCTTGGCTGCCCCTCCCAACCCTACTCCTTCATCCCCCAACTTGTCTCTAAAAGCGTGTTCCTGGGAATGACCTGAAATGAAATCTTGGGCTCAGGGTCTTGGCCTGGGACAGCCCAACACAGCCAGGTACTAACACTCAGCTGGGTAGTCTCAGTCTCCCTTCACTCGCCCCACATACCAAGGACAAGGACTAGTGTCTATTTCTTTCTATGGTCACGGGGGAAGATCCTGGGATTTCCACCAAGCAAGGCACTTTACCTGAGCTGTGATATGAAACAGCCCTTACAATCAGGTTGTCAAGGGCAGATAGGGACATGCGTGGCAAAGGTGCCTTAGCTCTGGGCTCCCCTACCACAGTCCCTGCACTGGAAATCCACATGGTTGGCCTGGTCACTTTGCCCCATTGGCATAGGCTCTCGGGGCCCACCTGCTTGAGCCGCTTGACCTCGTGTTCCAGCTCCACCTCACGGGCCCTGGCATTGAACTCGCCCAGGCCAGAGGATGCACTTCGGCCCCGGCCTGGCCGCTCACAGTCCAGCTTGTACATCTGCAGATGCTCCAGCTCCTTCCGCAAGTCCTCGATGAGCTGTGAGGGAGAGGCTGGTCAGCAGGAGCAGGGACACTAGCGGGATCCCTGGTGCCCTCTGGCCTGGGACCCACCTCTTGAGTGGCCTCCCGCTCCTTCTGGAACTCGAGGCGGTTCTGCCGCAGCTTGTCCATCATGCGCTTGTACAGGTCCATCTCATCCTTGAGTCGCAGGCTGGTGTCCTCCAGCCGGTCAGACATGCGCTGCCGCTCCTGGAGCCAGGGAGACATAGTCAGGGGAGGAGGCTCACTATAGCCCAGGGACTTCCCTGGGGATGTGATCAGCCACTCTACATGGCAAATGGACAGTCAGAGCAGCTCCCTTGGACAGAAACCTCCAAGTCAGACTTAAAGAAATAGCCAGGCTGGGGGCGACACCTGTGGCTCAAAAGGGTAGGGCACTGGCCCTGTATGCTAGAGGTGGTGGGTTCAAACCCAGCCCAGGTCAAAAAAAAAAAAAAAGAAAGAAAGAAATAGCCAAGCTGAGAATCGTAGTAGCTCATACTTGTAATCTCAGCACTTTGAGAGGCCAAGGTGGGAGGACTGCTTGAGGCCAGGAGTTTGAGACTAGCCTGGACAGTATAGCAAGACCCCATCTCCAAAAAAGATATATAAAATTAGCTGAGTGTGGTGGCACATGACTATAGTCTCAGCTACTCCGGAGGCTGAGGCAGGTGGATTGCTTAAGCATGGGAGTTTGAAGCTACAGTGAGCTATGATGCACTCCAGCCGAGGTGAGACCCTTTCTCCAAAAAAATTTCTTCTATGACACTAGAAACGCAGTTAGAAAAAATTCAGGCCTCTGAAGTCTTTCAATGATGCTACACAGAGTCTGAAAAGAAGGTATTAGCCTGAAAAGAAGTCAGCCCTTTCTAAGAGTATAATTCTCCTCCACTGTATAAGGATAGTATATATTCACTATAAAAAACTTGGAAAATCAGAAGTACAGAAACAAAAACTGTTCTTCACTTTTGGGGGGCAGGGCAATTTTTTATAATTTCAGAAACTATAAACTAAAATCCCTCCACTCCCCACTCCCTCCCACCCATGGGCAACATTGCCCCTCTGTGGGTTTGGCTCCCGGCTGGGATCTGCTACTCACCTCATCCAGTTTCTCTGTTTGAGACTTGAGCCGAGTTACTGTTGTTCTAAGTTCTGTATTTTCTTCCTCTAATTGCTGCACCCTGGGGAAAGGAGAACAGAAATCTCAGAAATCTGGAATGGGGCTTATCTCACAGGGGGCTGATAACTTGCTATGATTCTCTGCTTCCTGGAAGGAGGAGGATACCAACTCAGAAACCAACTGAGAGAAATGAGAATATGAATAGTTATCTCAAATGATAACATAGCCTTGAGCTGCCAGTCAGCCATGGCAAAACAGTAAATATATTGAATTATCATTCTTAGGAGTTTTTTTGATAAATGAATAAGAATATAAGATTCTTTTTGCATGAGTTCTTAGAATCCTGGGGAATCCACAGGGGAATGTTTTTATGCTACCCAGAGAAACAATCTTCCCGTGTCTGTGATTGGGATCCTCCTGTTAGACTCCACAATCTGAAGGCAATGACCATATCTGCTTTTCGTTCTCCACCCCCAGCATCTCATCCAGAGCTCTCTTCTGAGTGTTCACTGAAGCTGCCTCTCATGTCCACAGGGACTGGTTCCGATGGTAACAATCCTCTGATGTTAGCACCACAAAAGGGCTGTCCCATGAGAAGACAGAGCCCAGACCTGCTCAGTTTAAATAATCTGAGGGGAGGTGCAGGGGAGCTGGCACAGAAGGTGGCCTCAAGCTGGTGTAGGTGGCAGGGGCCAAAGCATACCACATGCCTCTGGGGGCATCATCTGCATGTTCTAAGTGAATGGTACCCAAGCTGTGCACAGGGAACCAGCTGGGAGACAGCTCCCAAGGGCTGGCTTTCTGGGCTTTGTCCTCTGGCCCACACTCACACTGTCTCTTTCCACCTCTATGTCTCAGCCATCCCTCACAGGCCAGCTGTCAGAAGCAGGCTGAGTCAAAGTGGCCACCCTTAGTGGGTACCAGCCTCCAGAGCCAGATGCCAAATAGCAGCTTTAAGAACACATGTCAAAATGTAAAACATACCCCTGGTGAGACAGTTAACAAAGCTGGCCTCAGACCCAGGGAAGCTGGGAAGTCCCCTCATCAGCTAGAAAGGGGCTTGGGCACCTGGCTCCCCGGGCCTGCTTCACCCCCAGAGTCTTAAGGTGTGAGGTGGGAGCCACTGCACTGCAGTCCACCTGCCATCAGGAATGCTCAGGGCAGAGCCTGGGACCTTGGGAGTATGTTCTCTCTGCCAGGGGCCTAGGCAGCACAAGGCATTGTCCTGATATGTGTCGGCTCACCCTCCCCATCCCCCCATTCACTCTGTGGGACTGACAGAGAGGGGATGACAGAGAGGAAGTGACACAGTGTGTGCACAGTCATGGCGAGTGAATGGGTGATCAGGTTCTGGGCTAAGGCTGCTGTTCCTTGTCCTCCTGCCACAGATGTCCTGAAGCACCGGGACCCTGCTCAATCCATCAGGGTCAGGGAGAACCGACAGCAGGGGGAGCTCCAAGCCTGGACATTGGACCCAGCCCAGGACTCCGGCAAGACCATTTCTGTCTTCTATTTCCTTGTCGATAAACATGTGCATGGCTTCCTTTACCTCTGTGAACAATCTTCTATACACTTCCTAAGTAACATGCCCATGTGACTTCTAAGGCATCAAAAGGAAAACTGTTAGAACGTGAGGCTTGCCCCCAGCCTCTGTCTTCCCATCTATAAAACAGGAATAGCCCCAGCTCCACAGGCAGGGCTGTCCCTGGGGTGCAAGGGTGTCTGTCTACAAGGGCACAAGAATCAGTGGAAAGGCAGTCCCGGGGGCAGAGAGGGGGATAGTGGGCCCCACCTGGCGTTGAGCAGTTCGACCTCGGTGGTCTTCTCCCTTTCCAGCTTGCTGTAGGCTTCACGATGTCGCCGCATCTCCTCCTCCAGGGCCTGCTCGGCTGTGGTCTCCTGGTCCTTCACCATCTCCTCCAGCTCGTGCACCCTGAGGACAGAGCAAGGGGCAAGCACTTAGGGTCCATATTGTCTCACCACAACCCGGGCCCTGAGACCCCAAGTCAATAACACGCCCACTGAAGGAGGTGACGGTGAGTTGGAAAGTCCTGTCGCTGACTAGGGTTCACCATGACTTCTAAAGAGAAGTGTCAGTCAATATGCACCATGGAGGGGTAGACCTGGCAGTCAGTCCAGAAGGGGGCCAGGCTCTACCCAAGAAGGTGGGCTGTTAGGGCAGCACAAGGACAGACGGCTGTAGCTGGATGAAGCAGCCTCGGGTCTCACCTCTACTTTTTGCTCTATTCCTTCCTGGCCAGCAGCCCTCGGACTGATACGTCGGCTTATTGGGTACCTTGACTCCAAACACAGGTACATCCTGGCTTAAGGGTTAAGTTGGCCCAAGTCAACTTCAGACCTGGGAGGCCCAGAACCCCATGACTGGCAACTTGGTGAGTACACTGGTTTAGGGTGCATCTCGCTGACAAGTCTCTCTGTGAGCTGACCTTTTTGATCTCAGGCCAGGATAAATCTGCCCAGCTTCATGCTATCAGGTGAGGACACTCACTACTGCACTGGCAGGGAGCATTATGCTCAGTGGGCCACCACCGACAGCAACGCTGGACCCTTCCTACCGCCTGACTTACACTGGCCTGTCCCTCTTCAAGTTCATTCCCAGGGAAGTCAGGCTCTCATCACTGCATGACAGTGGGAGACAGTGAATGCCAGCTCCTGTCTTAGACCGGCCCTGGCTCTACAGACCTGGGAGATGGAATCCATCATCCTGTCCCTAGAGCTCTGTCCCCTGGGCACCCTGCACAGGCAGGAAGTGATGAGGGGCTGATGCACCACAGACGCTTAGCAGGAGGGACAGCCCTTTACCCCCCAGCCCAGCCAACACCCCAGTCAGACCTGTGCACCAGTTGTGTGTTCTCCTGTTTCAGCTTGCTCTTCAGGTCCCCATTGGTCAGGCTGTCATTCTCCAGTTCTGTCACCTTTTTTTCCAGAAAGCTCACCTGCAGTAGGGGAGAATGGGTGTAGAAGATCTCTGAAGCTACAGGACGAGAACCTGCACGGTTCCTGCACGGCCAGGACCTCCAAATGGCCGTGCAGGAAGAGAATGGTCATGTTTGATGGGGGTGGGCCCATGTGACTGGGGCCGCCTGCCCGAGTCCCCAGACAGCAGCCGAGTGCTCCCACCACCACCTCTGAGGATGTGCACCCATGATGGACCCTCTCCAGCCCCCAGGGCCCACCTTTTCTGTGATGTCATTGTCACAGGAGTCGATGCTGTCCCGGAACAGGTCTTCTGTGCTGCCATTGCTACTGCTGAAGTTGCTATTGTGCATGAGCTGCCTGCAGGGATGGAGGGAGGGGACAGCTGGTTGCAGAGGCCTCGGACATGAGGGTTAAGTTGGCCTATGGGCTGGGTAAGCACCCGCTATCCCTGAGGCCTTCCAGGACTCCCTTTAAGGAGGCTTTTCTCCCTCAGCGGGAGGAAGCAGGCGCTGCCTGAGTCCTGAACCTAACAGATGGTACCGCTCAGAGGTTGGCTAATGGGCTGCTGTGCACCCTGTGCCCTGGCAGACAGGGCCAATCAATCACAGCTCTTTCCTGCTGCCTCAGAGCCCACAGCTTCCTGACAGCAGCTGCCCAGTGACCCATGCTGGCACAGGAACCCCCTCCTCTTCCAGCCCGAAAGCCCTAGGGAGGCAGCCTGGCCCTATAGTCTTGCTGGAGGATCTGAGCCTCCTGAAGCTTAATGTCCCACCAAGCCAGCTCCTGCTACAGTCTGGAAACTGTAGGGGAGGCCAGAGGGCAGAAGATTCACCAGTCCTTGCAGGGCCCAGAGCTGGTGGGTGGAATGGGGCAAGGCAGATGCTTGCTGAGGCCCCCCATCCCTGAGGGCATTCCCTTCCCTACTGTCCCACCAAGCTCCTAGGCCAGAGCCTGGACACTCACTGGCAGCTCCCACAGCCCCAGGTGTGGGTCTGGGCCCAGTCAGTAGGAGACCCAGAGTGGAACACAGCAGTCCCAGGAGGTCAACTGTGCAGGACATGACTAGAGCAGAGTGACCTGCTTTGATGGGGTATACTCATGCCTAGACCTCTGCCAGCAGAAAACTCAAGGTGTCTTTGGGACGGCTATCAGCTCCAAGTGGAAGGAAAGGCCCTGGCAGCCATGGGGGGTGGTGTGTGTGTGTTGTGTGTGTGTGTGAGACTGTGTCTCTCAGGCCATCCCTGGGGTGCCTGCCTGAAACTGAGGCAACCAAGGGTTTGAAGATGCTGCCAGGAAGGGTACAGACTGGCCCCTCTGTTCCAGAAATGGCCCCACATGCAGGACACTGGCTGGGTCTGGGCTATTGGCATAGAGCCCTGGCCTCCTGGGCAGCAGCAGCACAGTTAAGGGGGCAACACTCAACCTGTCCTCCCCACCACCCTAGTAGGGTGCTTACCGTCCAAAGGCTGTGCTGGAAATCTTTCGGTTGGGGCTAGAGAGAGAGACAGAGGAAACAGTCGATGAACAGAGGGGGCTCTAGTCTGTTCCCTTATCCTGCTCTAGCTACAAGATACCAAGGTACAGGACAGGGCTTCTCCCTCCCACTGAAGGGAGCCTGCTAATCAGCTTGGTCCTAATAATTAGCAGCCTGATTTCCTGTTGCAGAAAAAGCCCCAGGACTGACTCCAATCTTAGAGCATGCTCATTGCCAAGGCCGAGCAGGGGTGCCCTGCCTGCGGCTTCCCACCCCCCCACCCCGGGTCCACCTTGGCCTCTCATACCCCTCGCTCCCCAAGGGACCCCTGGCTCACCTGTTGGCCTTCAAGTTTCTCAGCCGGGCTTCCAAGTCATTCAGGAGGTTGATCTTCTTGCAGCACTGAGAGCAGTACACATCCAATAATTCACTGTTGTATGCGTGCCGCATTTTCCTAGGTGTCTGCCCCGCACTGATTCATAAGAGGGAAAGAAATCGCCTTAACTACTGTCCAGTCTGGTGTCCTATCCCACCCTGCTGACCATGTGGGAGTAGGGGCAGGGAGTGAAAATACCCCAATAGATTGTCCCTTCTCCAGCATTCTCAAAGAGAAGCAGCCTGAGAGTTGTACCCATTTAACAAAAAGGCAACCTGAGAGCTAATGCCAGAGTAACTGATGACTCAGGTAGATGAGAAGGTATCACAGATGGTCACTTGGAGGGGCCCTTTGACACTAAGGTTCTCAGAGCAAAACAGTACAGAGCCCCTCCACCCTCAGTTTGCAGCCCCCACAAGTTAATTCTGTTTCTTCCTCAGGCTAGAATTGAGGGGAAGGAACTCCTGACCTGTAATCAGGGTACAAAGGCAGCACCCCAAGCCCCCAGGGGCAGAACCCACACAGTTCAGAACAGAGGGAAGGATGGTCAGCTCAAGACTTGTCCTGCCTGAACACTCCCAACCCTGAGATGAGGTTGGATTGGCTCTGCCCCCTTTCTCAGATCCTAAACGCCCTTCTAGACCAAGGGGCCACCTGGAAGACACTGAAGACCCCAGGTCTGAGTAGACGTTGGTCCTGGTCTCGTCATCAGGGCAGGGGCTGCTGGGGGCACAGTCCACATCGTCTCCCTCCCCGTAGTCTTCAAACTGTTCTTCGTTGCTGATGAGGGAGGCAGTAGAGTGCGTGGACAGGTCTGACGTGGTCATGGAGGGAGTGTGGACCAGGGACCTGAGGGACGGAGAGCACTGTGTCAGAGGAGGACTCTGGAGGCCCCACTCAGGAGGAGGCCACTCAGCCCTACAGATTAAGGTCATACCTCTTGGCCTGATGAGTACACGTTGCAGACTCTACCTAAAGGGAAATGTGTCGCCACAGGGATGCTCAAACCAACGCTGCCCTAACTGTAATCTAATTATTTAGTTACAGCTCCATCAAATGCTAGTTTCTGAATTTGACATTAGTAAATTATTAAATTATGGAATATTAAATAGTTGAAGCGTTTTTTAAAATACTGACAATAATGTGAAAAAACGAATATAAATAAAAGTTAGATTTAAAATTTTAGAAACAGTTAAGACTGAGGATAGTCATCCCTTGGTATGCAAGGGAGATTGGTTCCAGGACCCCTCTGAATACCGAAATCCAAGGACACGCAAGTCCCTCATATAAAGTGGCATAGTATTTACATACAACCTACGCACATCCTCCTGCGCAGATTGCTTGTAATACCTAATCGTAACTTAATGCTACATGTAAATGTTATGTAAACAGTTATAGGGTATTTTTTTTTTTTGAGACAGTCTTACTATGTGGCCCTCGGTAGAGTGCCGTGGCGTCACTAGCATATTGTTTTTTAATGTGTATTATTATTTATCATCGTATTTTTTGGGTTTTCCCCAATATTTTTAATCTACACTTGGTTAGCCCCACAGACGTGCAGCCTGTGGGTACAGAGTGCTGACTGTATACATTGAGGTCTAAGAAAAGGGGGAGATAAGAACAGTAAGATGGAGGCAGTGCCTGCGTGTGGGTGGCGGGTCACTGCTCCCCATTCTCACTCTTCCAGTCTTTCTCGAATTTTGTTTAATTCTCCCGTATCCCTTCATAATCAAATGAGGCTGTAAAATAAATAACAATGAGCTGCTAGGTGAAAAGTGTCTCAGTCTGCGGGGGAGATTTCTAGTCCAAGGGTGTCTAATCCCTAAGAACAGAAGCTGGAGACCAGAGGCTCCAGGGCCTCTCCTGGGTGAGCTGTGATGTCTCAGAGGCCCCATCTCCAACCCAAGGACAAAGAGAAGTACAACTCATGACCGGCCGAAATATAGCTTCCTTTTATGCAGTAATTTCTGTACATTATTACTCAAAATCAGAATTTCTCCTACAACCTCACTGACCTCTACACTCAAAAATGAGGAACTTAAAAACAGTAACAGAAGTATGAAAGGGTTAATAGTACTCTGAAACCATGCCCACAGGGAACCCCAATTACTTTTTCTTTTGAGACAGAGCCTCAAGCTGTCCCCCTGGGTAGACTGCTGTGGCCTCACAGCTCACAACAACCTCCAACTCCTGGGCTTAAGCAAGTCTCCTGCCTCTGCCTCCCAAGTAGCTGGGACTACAGGTGCCCACCACAACACCTGGCTATTTTTTGGTTGTAGCCATCATTGTTGTTTGGCGGGCCCGAGGTGGATTCGAACCCGCCACCTTAGGTGTATGTCACTGGCACCTTAGCCACTTGAGCCACAGATGCTGAGCCTCTTTTTTTTTTTTTTTTACCTAAGACAAGTTACCCTGGTGTCATAGCTCATAGCAACCTCAATAGCAACTCTTGGGCTCAAGTGATCCTCCTGCCTCAGCCTCCCGAGTAGCTGGGACTATAGAAACCTGCCATAATGCCTGGCTAGTTTTTGTTTTTAGTAGAGAAGGGGTCTCACTCATTGCTCAGGCTGGTCTCAAACTCTGGAGCTCAAGCAATCCATCCGCCTTGGCCTCCCAGAGTGCTAGGTTTATAGGTATGCGCCACCATGCCCAGCCTCTCGGTATTTTTTCAAAAGAAATATTTAGTAGGGATGGGGTCTCAATATATGGCTCAGGCTGGTCTCACACTTCTGGCCTCAAGTAATCCTTCTGCCTCAGCCTCCCAAAGTGTTGGAATTATGGGCATGAGCCACCATGCACAGCCTGGAAGCCCAGTTTCTATCTTTGGATAGAGTGGTTACTAAAAAACAAGTCTCCCCTCATATGTACCTGGGTCACCCTTAATTTACTTATTTATCTGCCCCCAGATTCCTCAGCACTTCAGGTTGAATTAATCATACTCCTCAGTTCTTTCTCTTGAAATGTTGCTAAAACTCCCAGTACCCTCTTCTGGCTTATCTCCTCACAATTAGTCCCCCCAAATAATAAGAACAATCAAGTGGTAGACGGGTAGCCACAGCATCAATGGGTCTGTCCTTGTCCTTGGGTTGGCTGGATGTCGGTACACCTGATGAAACGCTGCCAGAAAGCAATGCAGAATTCTCAATCAGTAACTCCAAAGGTCTCCATGTGAGAAGCCCCATGGTTAGAAAATGTATTAGGTTGAACCACATCAAATCACCTTTTTTTCTGAAGGCTGAAAATGATTAAAAGTTGTCAATTTCATATGGTTCAACCCTCTCTAGATTCCTGGGTAACCATCACCTTCTTTTGACAGGGGGCCTGCCACTCCTCCTTAGCCAGGATGGCGGCAGCTTCCCTCTGGCCCGTAAGTCTACCTCCTTCCAGAGCCTTAGTGAGGGCCAAAGAGGAGGGACTCCCGTCTGCCAGCACCAAACTAAAAGACAGCATTACTTCAGTGGAACGTCATGTAGGTCTTAATACTGTTTTAAAGTAATATTTCTGATTATGAAAGCACATAATCAATGCAGAAAATGCAGAATATAGAACAGAGTAGATGAGAGGCAATTAAAATGATCAATCATTCTACCATCCAGAAATAAACGTTTAATTATCCACATTAATTTATTTCTAGGCATTTCCTACTATGTAGGTAGGTGTTTTTAACAAAGCTAAGAGCACACTTCACTGACATCTTTGTAACCTGCTTTTCCAAACTAATTGAGATCATGTATCTCGTAACATTAAACAGTCATTTAAAACTTGACTTTGCCCAACTGCCTGAAATTCCAGAACTATCCCTACTTTTAAGCTTTTAGGATGCTTAGAATTTTTTGTTCTTCAGAATACCCATGACACGGAGGTCTGTGATATAAATCTTGAGCGAGTCTCACATTTACTTCCTTCCAAAAACCACATTTCTGGGCCCAGAGGCACATACCAAACTTCAGATAGTTTTAACTCACTTGTCCTCTGGCAGAAACAGGCCCCCAAGTCCCCCGTCCTTCTCTTCAGCAGGACTCCCGACAGACCCCTCCAGGCTCTGGGTGCTCTCCATGGGGCTGTCCATGTCTGACTCCTGGGGGCCCTCAGGCGGGGCCAGCGTCATGGCCTCTTCCTCGTCCTCAGGAAAGAAGCCGGGCTCTCTGGGGATGAGCTCGCCATCAGCGTATGCAGGGCCTGCGACCTCACTGCCCTGGGAAAGACAAGGGGTGCAGAATGAGTGAGGTCAGCTCCCCCTGGCTCAGCATTCCACATCAGACTACAAAAAGGCCAGCAGGGCCAGAGACAGCAGGTACTGGGGTGCACAGAAGCCCAGACCCCAAGACGCCAAGCATGAGAACGCCTGGCAGGTGATTAGACTCAGAGACCTCTCACACTGGCCAACTCATGAGAGTCTGGTGAGGAGCTGGAACTCTCAGGAATGGCCATCCACAAAGAAGGGCCACAGCCAGGTTAGCCAGGCCATTTGGGGGCACAAGGTCAGCAAAATGGAGCCCCCATCACAAAGTATTCATAGGAAGACAAATGACTTTAAGACAGCTCCTTCGGGATCCATGTTAAGGGCACATGCACATTGAATGGTCTTCAAGAACAACCCCTGACCCAGCAGAGTTGAGGCAACGTGGCACTGGGGAGTCTGCACAGCTTGGGACCCACCATCTGTGAGTCTGAGCACATCACAGACCCTCTCCGAACCTTAGTTCTCTCTGTGTCGATCAAGAATGGTGATGGAGTCTCACAGGGTCATTGTGTCCATTAAATGAGTTATTTCATGTCAGCATCTGGCAAAGGAGGACTTTTAATGAATATATCCTGGCCAGAGAATGCAAGGCTAGCCTGGGGGGCAAGAACACCAGGCCTTTCACTTCTGTGCTTTAGGCCAAACCTGCCCGTGCTGGGTCCATTGCCCAGCACACTGCCTGGCACAACAACAGCGAGTCACAAAGATTAAGCACCCACCTTTTGCTAAAATCTCACACAAGGGCTCTGGCTTTGTTCAGAGCATACCCTAGACTAAGGGGTAGGTCTTTGCAAACCAGTTCCTGTGGCCACTTTGTCTCTGAGAAGGTAGGTACGCCCTGGGTAGTGTTCCTACCTGTTCCTATCTGAGAGGTCAACCTACTCCCAAGGTTCTTGGTGTGCTCCTCGGCTAGGGGTGGCAGACAGCCCCACAACACTACAAGAATGGTAACAGGAACAAGGGCTATGAAAAGCTCCTGGGAATCTCAGATGACAACAGGGTCGGGGTTGTCTGAAAAAGTTGCTCAGTGACAGGCTTGAATGTGCCTGTCCAGACACATTCAGCCATCTGGTGCCATTGGTGAGCTGGTGGTCCTCCTGGGGATCTGTCCTCACTAAGAGATTCCTGGGCTAAGAATAGACGGCAATTAGTGACTCTGGCTCCTGCCTGTGCCGGGACTCAAGCTGAACACCAGATGGACTGGTAAAGTTGGTGCCATACAGCCAGGCACCCACCATGGAGCTGAAGAGGCTGTGTCGTGAACATCCTCCCTGGTGTTCCCAGGGCCCTTCCCACCTCGATGTCAGTAATCTCATCACATGGCTCCCAACCTATCAGAACTCCTGTCCTGGGCCAGCTCTTCATCCACAAGCCTGAAGCTACAGGTGGGGACTGTCCTATCCCTAGACGTCCCCCAGCAGCACCCTGACACTCCTGGTAGCTGCCAAGTCCCTGTTGGGGTGGCAATAGCAGCCTCAAGTGGCCTGTCTCAGTCCCAGGGCAGGGCAAAAGGCACACCAGGGCCCTGTCCTCCAAACAAGACTGCCACCTCCCCAGGGCAGACCGTTAGCTGTGACCGAACAGAGTCCTTGTCAGCCTGGGTCTTCACTGGTCATCTCCAGTGTTCTTGTCTGTCTCTCACACACACCCTTCTCTCACAACAGCTCTATGAGAGCACCGTGAGGTATACAGGGCAGACTCGGGACACCTGGGAGGATGAGGCCCAGCGTGGGAGGCCAGCTGCCAGGAACCATGCAGCTCACAGAGGGCTCTGCTGAGACCTGAAGCTGGCTCTGACATGCCCAGCCCGGGCCCTCACCCACCCAACACTGCACACGCACACACTCATTCCAGCTGCTTCTCTCAAAATCAACTGCCCCCTACATTAAACACCTTTTCACTCAACCCACAATTGTCTACCCAAGGCAAGGGAATTTTAATAAAAACTTGAAAATCATTTCTAGTAGTTTCCCTCCCCCAAATTCAAATGGTACAAAGACGGCTATTCGACAAGTGACTGCACACCCACCTTGGTTGCCCCACCACAGTACTGGCTTATGCCTGTCCCAAGACCCCTGTGGTAACATCTTGTGACATCTGTCCTGGTGACCTGTGCTGCGCCCTCAGGGCCGCAGTCTCTGGCCCCACTCTGGGTAGGGGTCTTCTAGGTGGAGCCCCCAGCTCCCTTTTCCTGCTAGGCTTGGAGAGTTGCTGCAGATGGGGGTCAGAGAGGGGCAGCTGCTAGAAGGAGCCAGAGGCGGCCTCTCATCCCATCCGTGAGCCACTATGCACTGGCTGGGAGAACTCGGAGTCACTCTCATTAGAACCCTTCAGAGCCACCTCTCCTCTTTTATGTTCTGCAGATAAAAGCTGCAGAAGGAAAGGGCGAGCTTGCCCGTATTATAAACATGGCCCGCACAGGATTCCTAGGGGGCCTCCGGACAGTGGTGCTCTGAGGCTGTGAGTCACCCTCTGGCCAGGCTGCCTGCAGGTCAGGGCCACACGGCACCCCTATGTTTAGGCTTCTGAGAAAGTGGGAGAGAGGACATCACCCCATCTCAGGACTGTCACACTCACAGGGAGACCCAGAACTGCCCACTCGCCCCTGGCTGCACGGTCTGTGTCCACACCACAGCAGCCCCCTTCTCAAGGCGCATGGGGATGCCCAGTCATGAACTGACCGCTCTGGAGGGCTGGCTGGACTGGGGAGCAGGGAATGGGCCTCCCAAGAGCTTGTGTTGCCAGATGACCAGGTGTCTATGAGCAGAGTCTGTGCCGGGGAGCTCCTAGACTCTGCCCCTCAGAGCTCCATGTCCTGCCTACTCCCTGGTGTTTGAAAAAGATGTCCATGCAAGACCATCTGGCCACCGTCCGTGACTCTCGGGACATCAGGGACATGTCCAGCCCTGGTGCTTAGTGCAGCCTCCTCAGGGTTTGCACAGGAAGGCTGTGTCTGGTCTTTCGAGGGCCTTGAGGGAAGGGATGGTATCCTCAGGAGGCAGCACTGGGCATCGTCTGTAGCACAAGCTGACTCTTCAGGGCTCTGTCTCTCAGGACCCACGACCAACCCTGAGCACAGAGCTCCCTGTCCCCCTAGGGCATAGGGCCAGCCAGCCACTGTGAGCCACACAGGCTTGGTTGGTAATATCCAGACCACCCCAGGCCCACCATCTCCCACCCTGCTGAGGGGACATGGGGTGAAGAGAGACAGAGCAGGTGCAATGTGTCCTCCCCAAATCCCAAAAGACCCCTGTGGGGGGGACTGGGGGAAGGCCCACTGGAGCCCAGAAGGCTGGGTTTCAGTCCCTGCTGGCCTATCACTAACAAGCTGTGTGACCCTGGGCAAGTGACCATGCCTCTGAGACTCTGGTTCTCTAACTACAGAACAAGGACAATCACCTGTACCTCAGAGGCCACGGAAGGCCACATGTGACAACATATAACAGTAGCAGAGGCTGAGCTGTCCCTACAGCACATGGGTCACCGGCTAGTTGTCTAGCAAGGCCCTGGACAGACAAGTAGCCAGGGGGATCCCTCCTTCCCTTCAGAGAGGCTGGGCCCAGGGGATGCTCTTAGGCCAGGAGTTTCTGGAGAAGGCTAGGAAGCAGGATGCGGGCAGTGGCTCTGGCAGGACAGACAGGACAGTACCCACTGCGACATCCCCACCTCTACTTTTCAGCCCCACCTCCAGCTGGGGCTGGATAGAGCTGGCCAACGCTGAAGTGTCAACCTGGAGGCACACAGTCTGCCCTGGGCCTCTCCAGCTTCGAGAGCTGTGTCCACCCGCCAGCAGGCCCCATGTCACCCTTCCTCTGTAGGAAGTTGGCAAGGGCTGAATTCAAGGTTGCTGAAAGGCCCAGTATCAATACACATGGGGGCTGGCCAAGCCGCGGAGTGGCCCACAATGCCCCACTGTCCATGCTCTCAGCAGGGGTGTAGCAGGGCCCAAACTCCATGGCTGTATCTGGTCCTCTCCTGTCCCCACTGTCCCCCATGGGGACCCTCTCTCAGTCACACACAGCAGTACTCTACATGTTGCTGGCAGTGAGTGCAGAGGGCCCTGAAACCAAGCAACCACATCTCCAAATGCCCTAAGAGAGGGAGCACTCTAAATGGGTAGCCTCGGGACTTCTCCATCTGCACCCCATGGTAGGCACTGAGGGAGCACACGTAGGGGACTAATGAGCACAGGCTGAACCAAGCTGCGCTGCAGGGTGGTGAGCTGGGAGGAGCCCGGCCACAGGGCCCTGAGGCCTGGGCGCCAACTCTGGCGTGGTCACTGCCTGACTGTGTGACCACTTGATAAGTTTAATTTCTGAGCCTTAGCTAAAAACAGAGATAGGAACACCTACCTGGCAGGACTGTGCTAAAGGGTCTAGGTCAATGCCTTGACCTTGAGGATGCTGAAGAAGGGGCAAGCCGGCGTTAGGGATAAGCTGTGGAATGGACTGATGAGGCCCTGCTTCACCATTCAATAAACCCCACGGCCTTAGGTTTACTGACCCTCCCAGAGCCTCAGTTTCCCCATCTATAACATGGAGTTAATTATGATTAAAATAAAATGAATTGGCCCATGTTCAAAACACTTTACAGCCTCAGCCCACATAGAAAGTGCGTAAAACTGACCTATTCTTGTCACCGTCGTGTTGAAGGAAGACAGGCGTGCAGCCTGGCCTCCACCCAGCCCCTGGGGCCCTCTCACCTACACCAGTGCCACACTGGGCTGGGGGCCGGCTGGGTTCCGCTGCGGGAAGCCAGGTGTGTGTGTGCTTCAGAGCCTGCCCTGCCAGTGCCGCGGCCTCCTTCCTCCCCTCTGTTCCAGAAGGTCACCCCCACATTAACAACACCCTTTAATAAGTGTTAAAAAGAGATGCTGCTTGGGGAAGGGAGTTCAGGAAGCTCCAAGGCTCCGGCTCATTCACGCCCAGCCCTGGCAATGGCTCCATTCCCAA